ACATCAATTTTTTCATAATATATATATATATATATGAATATATGAAAAATATATCAAAATGCATGTGGGTACTCAAATGAAAGCTCTTGACGAGTGCATGTAACATCAGGATGAGCTTATATCTTTTAAAACGTCAATATTTAAGAAAATACCGTGCAATTTAACAAAAGTCATTATTTAATAAAGCAAAATTTTATTTATATATAGTTCACAAGTCACGGCAGTCACATAATAACTGCAAGGTTGCTAGTTGTTATTAATTAAAAAACTTACACCGTCAATTTCATCAGCGGCTTTTAATTTCCAATCAGCTCCAAAACGAAATAGATTCCCAAGAAAACTTTCATCTTGATTTATTTCTTCTGTATTTATTTCACAGGTCTAAAATTATGTTATTTATTAAGTTACTTTAAAACATTTATAAAATAATTAATCAATTAAATTAATATTCACTCTTTTATTTGTAAAAGTTAAAAGTCTAGAGACAAGACAAGAAATGTTTATATTTCTTGAAATAAATTTAAAAAAATAATTTTTAATAAAATTATAAATAAGGTAAAAGCCCCAATAGATGATCATATACTGGTACATGATCATCTATTAGGGTTTTTACCTTACTTTTAAATTAATTAAACGTAATTCTGAGTATCAATTAAAATTTTACGATCATTATCCGGGAAAATTATCAAATTAAATGCTTTTAAGTTTAATTATCAAATATTACTTACTGTGAGGATGAACTCGATTAAGTTCAATTTAATTAAAACAATTAATTACCTGAATTAATACACAAATTAAAAATATAAAACGCCATAAATATGAACTCATCTTGTTTCTAGTCTGAGGTAAAAATCACTTAGCTCAAAAAATGTTAATTTGCAAGTGGTACCACGATCAAATGATCTTCTAATTTATATTAGAGGCCTGAAGAATTAAATCATAATAATAAACCAGATAATTAACACTTGGACTAATACCATAAATTATTTTAAGTGTATAAAAAATTTAGGAATCGATATTTGAAACAAAACTCGCTTTATTATTACTATTATTATCAGTAAATATTTTTTAGTCTAATCATCTGTGTTAATTTCTAGTCATACATTCAGTATTTATTATTCAAATTTAAGAGGTGTGACTTAAAAAAATGAACATGACAATTTGGTTAAGAAGAGGTCTTATTCTTTTAATGACTTATTGTAATGTAATGTAATGTAATTTATTAACTGGCTATAGGACAATGTCCCCTAATAGCCAAAAGATACATAAAGTATTACAGAGAGTGTGAGAAATTTAAGTAATAGTATATAATATAAAAAGTAGTAGATAATGAGATATACATATATATATAGAAAATGACTTCAAATTAATAACAAGAAAATGTTTATTTTTTTTTTTATTGTAATAATAGATTAATAAAAAATGATTTTTACTTCTGTTGATTTTTAAAAATAATTTTCTAATCTATATTATTGAGAAAATAAGAAAAATTTCATGTCCAGGATAGGCATATGATAAAATCGGTTTTTTTTTAGTATTTGAGTACCCACATCAATTTTTCATATATTTTATACATTTATATATATATATATATATATATATATATA